TGGAGGGGAACTTGTGATGCACCTTCAGACTGTGTAACGCGAAGCCAAGGGCTGGCTTGGCTGGCTGGGGCTGACTTTACTGTGATGCTGCTGTGACAGCTTTCTTCAAGGGGGTTTTGAGTGATACTACATTTACCACTTCAATCATCCCGTTTGCATTGAACAAGGTTCCAAACGCTTTCAGGCTGCTTCTAAAAATGAAATTCATCTTTACCAGACAAAAATTATCTTTCCCACAACGAAGATACTCAAAGGGAATATCTTGTGAGATTTGTAGGCCATTCCAGAACCTGATTCCCAAAGCATTTTAATAAATGGTAATGTTATTAGAAGAAATATGTACAGCAAAATTTACAGAAAATAATATTTGCCAGGCATTTTGGCACACATCTGTAATCCCAGTGGCTCTGGAGGCTCAGGCAGGAGGATCACAGATTTGAGGCTAGTCTCAGTAACTTAGCAAGGCCTTAACCAACTTAATGAGACTCTGTCTTAAAATAAAAAGTAAAAAGGGCTGGGGATGTAGATCAGTGGTTAAGCCCCTTTGGGTTCAATATCCAGTACCACCCTCATCTCCCCCCCCCCCAAAAATAATATTTGACTTTAAACCTTGCTATGCTCTTTTGAGAAATTTGTTTATCATACTTTTTTTCTTTAGTGAAATTTCACGGGAGTTATATCTTTTTTTTTTTTTTTAAATAAAGAACCAGAAGACTATATAATTTTCAAAGACTTTTTCTTTCTTTCAATTTTGGGATTGTAGATGGACAGCATGCCTTTATTTGTGTCATTTTTATGTGGTGCTCAGGATCAAACCCAGGGTCTCACACATGCTAGGTAAGTGCTCTGCCACTAAGCTACAGCCCCAGACCTGGGAGTTATATCTTTTTTAAAAAAATATTTCTATTAGTTATTGATCGACCTTTATTTATTTATTTGTTTATATGCAGTGCTGAGGATTGAACCCAGTGCCCCACACATGCTAGGCAAGTGCTCCACCACTGAGGCACAACCCCAGCCCTTGGGAGTTATATTTTAATGAAGCACATGGACTAGGAATTGATTTCTTTTTCTGCTGTTTGGTTATAAAACATGACTTTTCTATAAAATAAGGATGAGGGGTTCACATTTCCGGGTGCCATGAAGAACAGGGGTATATGGAGTACCTAGCAGTTCCTGGATTGTGGCTGTCGCTCAAAAGGTAGCTATTATGATACAAGTGTTATTATTAATACTATTATTAGTAATTTGACAAGAGACTAGTTGGTTCTTTTTATTTTTTATTAAGCCACTCCTATTAGATTTGAGAAAGAATAGTTTTGTTTTCTCTGGTTTGGTTTTGGTTTTACTGTTTATAAACTTTTTGTTGTTGTTGTTGTTGTTGTTTTGGTACTGGGGATTGAAGCCAGGGGCACTCAATGCTTTAGCGACATCCCCAGCCTTTCTTATTTTTTAATTTTTTGAGACAAGGTCTTACTTAGTTGCCCAGGCTGGCCTCAAACTTGCAATCCTCTTGTTTCAGCCTCCCAACTGGCTAATACAGGTGTTTTTAGTAATTTCGGTAACAGGAGTTGATTTAGTCAGCATTTTTTGCTGCTGTGACTAAAAGATTACAACAAAAACAATTTTAAAGAAGGAAAAGTTTATTTGGGAGTTCACAGTTTCAAAGGTCTCAGTCCAGAAATAGCGGGTTCCATTCCTCACCACTGGACATGAGGCTGAACAACATTGTGGAAGAGTGTGGTGGAGGGAAATGGCTCACAGGATGAGAAGGAGAGAGAGAGAGAGAGAGAGAGAGAGAGATTCCACTGCTATACATAAAACATACTCCAAAGGCAAGCCCCCAAAGACCTATCTCCTCTAGCCACATCCTACCCACTTTCAGTTTGCACTCAGTTTATCCCTTCCGGGTTTCACTAATTGTGTTAAGGCTCTCATAACTCAATTATTGCTCCTCTAAACCTTCTTGCATTGTCTCACACATGAGCTTTTTGGGACATCTAATATATAAACCGTAATAGAAGTAAAAATATATTTCCCTGGAAATTTCATTATGTGATTATTAACTCATTTGCAATAAATATTTGTGTTGATAGGACATCTAGGGCCCAGAACTTCATTCCTCCCCATTTCTACGACTTTACTGCCTTCTTTACTCTAAGCAATTCAGTGTGTACTTCTTTCCTCTAGGAAGATAAACAAATTCACTTTATAAAATTTTTCCTAAATAAATAATATAGGAACTACCTTATCTAACCAACTTGGTAAAATTAGTCATAATAAGTTTTCCAGAAAACTAAAACCATGATATTCCTTTATTTCCCCTCTCTGAATACAGCAAAGAAAAATAATTTTATTAAAATATTTTCTCTTTCATACTGGGAGAGGCATTCTCTTTTGTGATGTAAACTATGTTTTTTAATGCTGAAGTGATATAATAATTAATACATTAAATATAATGTCAATTAGATTTAGGTTTACTTATTTGTAATAAGGAGCTTTAATCCAAAGATACATTTTAAAAGTCCATGCATTACTGGATTTAATGATTTACACATTAATTTCTCAACTTTTATATCAACATACTTGTTGTCACTAAAGTTTTTCAATAGACATATATGCACCTATATAGGGGAAGAATTTAAAATTATAAACATGTACCTATTAAATTGCTATCTTAGAATGCTTCTGGTCTGAGGAAACATACTTGGCTCATATCAAGAAGAAAAAATGTTTTTTCTAGATTATTTTTAATGTACTAAAAACACTGTTCTGTTGAGATGCTCTGAAAATGTAATTAAATACTAAAATGGCTACTAACATGATTAAGAAGAAAGTACAGCTAGGCTTTTCTAAGCCAGTTAAAACCATGGTGCCGGTTGCTTTACTCAGTAATAAATCACATCTGATATCTGGAAGCAGAAATACCATGTAAGCAGTTCTGTTCTTTCCCTGTCCATAAAAGGTTGGAGGATTGTATTAGAGTAAGCTTTTTGATGAGGTCAAATTAAATCTCCCCAGACTGTACAGATACCTGCGGAACTGTTTTATTTACTGTGGTTTGAGGTTTTGTAAAATCAATGGTATATTTTTAAGAAGAGATATACCATGTTTGTGACAGGTGTAACATCATCATAAACTTTAATAATTATTCTTAAATTACCCCAGGTGTAGTGCGTACTTACAAATTCCAATAAAGTAATAGAACTAAAACATTAAAACTTGAATATCATCTTCAATCAGTGCATTTTACTTAAGTTTTCGTAATGTTAGTGCCAGACAGAATAGATAAAATAGAAAGATTATCTAAATATAAACTATTGAGAATAAAAACTAGGTGTCATTGATTAAAAATATACTGAAAAATATAATTAAGTTTTAGATAAAAATGAAACTTATTTCCCTAAGTGTGTATGACATCTGAGGGATATCTAAGAAAAAATTTGAGCATTCTCATTTCTGGAGACTTTCAGAGCAGTAAAGTCATACATTTCTTTCAGATCCTGTTTTATTAGAAGAGCTATCTGCTTAAGTCTACAAGGAATAGACTCTTCAATACCTGCATGAGTGAATAATTTTACATAACAATAATTAAATGTAAAATATGGATTCCAATTACAAAAGTTTCTTTTCCCAGTTTTTATCATAGAACAAAAATTCTTAATAGTCCTCAGACATAGCAGTAATGGAGAAAATTTCATTAGGGCTGCTTGGAGTGTAACCTCCACATTTTTTTTGCACAAATTGGAAATGAAAACATTCCTCACTAAAAAGCAGCAAAGCAAAGGTCACAGCACAGAAGGCCTGGGTTCAAATGCCAGCTCTGTCAATACCTCATTGCGTGGCCTTGCTAGTTACTTAATGGAATGCGGCTACACGGGAGAGAAAGCAGTACTGCCTATCACAGCTTTTGAGATCAAGTGAAACAGTACATGTGAAGTTCTTGGACAAGTATCTGGCATGTAGAAATCATTCAAATTATGCAAAGTATCAGCTGTTATTATTACTACTGCAGAGTAGTTCCTAGCATTTTTTTTTTCTTCTGAGACTCTCCAGAGAGATAATAGCCATATGTATAGCATACCTACCCTTTTGGTCCATTTTCTATGAGTTGCCCTCCTATCCTATCTCATGACAAATATTCTGGGATCAAAATAAGCAAGAGTGACGTTATCACAGAGGTAACTCTCCATGTTTCAACTTAAAATAAGAAATGATTTAAAAATTTCAGAACTTAATTTTAGAAGCAGGTTAGTAACACATTAGAGCATGACTCAGACATGTGCCCAGAGCACTTCTTTTAGGAAGTAAAGGGACGGGAGAGAGAGGTATACGGAGAAACAGAAGATATATGCTTAGATACCGCTAGTTCTATTAAAATCTTTTCTATCCATTTGTCTACCTGTTCATTTATTTATCCCATCCATCCATCTATTTGTTCATCCTTCTAGTCATTAAATATTTATTGAAGATCTATTTGGGGCTGCAAATAGATACTGGGGCAGGTAAATAGACTTTGGGGGAAACTTTAATAAGAAGCTTGTGCCATTTCCTGGAAACCTAGATTTGTTTGTTTGGCAGTTGCCCTTTTTTTCCTCATTCTTTTAGAGGAGCTTCCCATTCAGACCAGAGGAAGAAAAGATTAAATTTTCTCTCACCACCCTCAGAATGAACACTCTTCTCTTCAATGGCCTGTTTGAGGTGGTGGGGGGGGAAGTTGTGAGTGAATGCTGGACCAGTCCCCAGATGCTGCTGGTGGAGAGAATCCTTGGACTCATACTCAGTGGAGTGGGACAAAGGGAAGATGCAACTTCATTTATAGAATCACATTGCACTCTGTGGAACCTTGGGCAATTTTTTTGATTTCACTCTGGCTTTTATTGGTCTGTATTTAATGAATTAAAAAAGTGACTTTTAGTTTACATTTACATTAAATATTGTTCTTTTTGGATTTATATGTCAAGCATAATCGTGAATATTTTTGTTTCATTTTTTTCTAGTTATTACCGCAAGAAAGTTATACCCAAGTAAAACAAATCTTCAGCTTGAGTGAGTAGCTATTTCTTTATCGACTGATTCTAACACACACTTATTTATTTAACAGATTCAATGATGAGGGAGTTGGCAGCCATATCATAACAGCATTTACAACATAAATATGTAAATGCATTGTAAAGAGAGGAAAATAGCAGGAAAAAACCAGCAGTTAGCAATCTCCTTCTATTTGTTTCCCAGAATAGGCTTGCAGATTCAGAATCAGAATATGTAACATGGTCAAATGAAAAAATTAAAAGTCAAACTAAAGATATGATAAATATTTAAATAATCTCTTCCTCTAAATTAAAAAATAATGAATAAATCCCCTCTTTGCTGTAACTTACTGTCTATTAAATGTGGATGACAGTTCTTGTCTCTGAAATGTATGGTGATGACAGGAACATAGTGGGTAGAGTACTTAGGCTGGGGTATAGAGGTTGCTCATCCAGTGACTATGATAGTACTCAAAGTCAGTTCATTCCTGGCCCGGTGTGTGGAATCTCAGGGTTATCTACCTGAAGTGCCAGCTTTTCAACATATCATCCTCAAATCATTAAAATGTAAAAGAAAAAATTAATCAGCAGAGAAATAACCATCATAATTTTCTATTGAGTATTTAACTTTTAAAAGCCTATGCATTAAACATAAATTACAGTCATTATGATGATATAAGTAAGAAATCTTCACTGTTGGATTATTTGTACTTCATATAACTTTTTTCCCTGGGTATAAAATTTCTACCTGATTATATGTTAGATAAAAGGGCAAAGGAGTAATATAATTTTTTCAGAACAACAGAATTATAATAAATTGATTTTAAAAATGATGATGGCTTTAAATATCTGGCATAAGAAATTTCTTGTATTTATTTATTTATTTTTTGCCTAGCTTGAATATCAACATCGAGATATTAAGAGAAAAAAATCATGCAAGTAGCAGGGCTGTTCATGCTGATGTCATTTTAATCATAATAAAAGTCCAAGTATCTGACCACATAAGGTAATAATTTTACCATGATTCCAAATTTTAACATTTTTATAAGAAGTAGTCAAGTAGAATTACAGTCAAAATGCCAGTACTTCAGAAATAGTGGTACTCTAAAACACGTGCAGGTGAAATTCTGATAGAACCATTTTGATGGTGTGGACTTTTTAATGCAGCAATTTTGGAAAGAGAACATTTTGATATGCCCTAGAAAGAAAGTCACTGAATTTTCGACTTCTGAAAATATGGAGTTCTTTGCACAAAAGTCACCACATTGTCCCTCTGACCATCACCATAGCCCTGGCTTGTGGGCATCCAGAAATTGCTCTGCAACTTGTGTCCAGCCTTGACCTGGTGTTGGGCCTCACTCACATCATGGAGCACATCCTGAAGGATGGCACAGGGGTGATGCACATCTTTTGTACTTATTACTTGAAAACACCACCCCCTTGAATTTTTTAAAAAAAATAATTTTTCATCTTACAGTGAATGTCAGAAAGGCTGTGTCAAAATGTTCTGTTTCTGTAAGGGCGAGGCTTATTAAAGGTGAACAAGGAGGCCTGTGGAAGAAAAGGAACTCATGGGTTTGCCTGAAGCAGATGTAAAAATGGGGGGAAAACCCCATCCTTCAGTGCAGAAAAGTGCATGTGTCCTTATAAAATCGGGATATTTTACGGTTGGAGAACACCTGAAAAACCAATTTGGTTACAATGCTGACCTAAATATTAGAAACTCCATGTTCCCCGGTCCCCTGCTCTCTCAAGGCTGCTCTCTTCAGGTAGAAGTCACCTGACCCTTACCAGCTCAAATGTCTGTACCAAGCTCAAATGCCCAGATGGTGAGGATGAAAGGAATTCTGGTTTGGAAAGATTGAAATCCTGTTCTCCAAGTAAGCACTAATCCTAACATGGTATTTCGGGAGTATCAGAGACTAAGTCCTGACTAGAATTGAGCTCGTGTCATTGTGTTTTATAGTTGATTTCCATCTTCATTCCTTTTTTAGGAAGTGGGGGTACCTCCTTCCCCTCAGGACACTACCTTTTTATGGGGGTTCTGTTGCCTCTAGGCACTGTTTTTCTGATGTGGGCTGCCAGAGCTTGTGGGTTCCTGTCTCTCCCCTGACTGTGTTCCACCTTCCTATTACCCTGGCCTGGTCCTCCTTGATACCACCTACAAAGTCACCTGTGGCTTATCACAGTCCTCACTGAAGGCATTTTTGCACCATTCCAGTAAGGCCTACTTTCACAACAGCTGCTGTCAGCGTCAGAATTGAAGCTCATCTCTGTCTCATGATTAGAATGAAATTTCTCTTAAGTGGTTATCCAATTTCTGGGTCACAGACGTTCAAGAACCCACTGTTGTTTGAGGAAGCTCATTTTATCTTATAAAATTAATGGCCAGCTGGGCATGGTCATGCATGCCTGTAATCCCAGTAGCTCAGGGGGCTGAGGCAGGAGGATACCTAGTTCAAAGCTTGCTCCAGCCACATAGGCCCTAGGAAACTTAGAGAGAGACCCTGTCTTGAAATATAAAAAGGGCTGGGGATGTGGCTCATCAGTTAAGTGCCCCTGAGTTCAATCCCTGGTACTTTCCACCCTCAAAATATATATAAAGATAAAATTAATGACCAACAGAAAGGTTTTTATTCTATGAACTAAAACACTGGGGCCAACATAACACAGTACTTATGCACAAGTTAGAAAAAATTTTTCTTTAGATAGACCAATTTTAAAAAGGACCTCCATATCTCACAGCTGAATTCAGGCCACAGGGCTTGAATATAGTTTCACCTTACTTATCTCCTAGTCAATCTTGTGCAAGACACAGTCCATGTAATTCTTGTGGGGGTCCATGGATTGGTCCTGGTTTTGCTCTTCAGAGTCTCAGATAACAGATTTCTCCAATTATTTGATAACAGTTACTGTATTCCTTCTGCAATTTCCCTTCTTTGGATTACATATATTGAGTTTTTTCATTTATTCTTCTTCATAAATTATTTTTAAATCTTCTATTGACTGTTTGGAACATACTTCCATTTATCTATATTGTTCTTCAAATATCTAAATGAAACACAGCACTAGTCCAGGCTGGTTTCACCAATGTGAAATTATAATTTCCATTGTTCTCCACCATTCTGTTTCTTTTAAAGCACTCTACGACTGTAGAGAATTTTAATAGGCTAGTAAGACATACTCTGGGTTTTAACTATCAAGAGTTCCAGGTTAAATAACTATTACAACAAAGCCAAAGTTGTGTTTTCTTAAGATCACTTTTTAAGAAAGGATTATAAAAAAAGCTGTGAGGAACTCTGATAAAGCAAAAGCTAAGATGATTTTGTGAGATATGTTTAATTCGATTGGGGTTTAGAAATTTCTTTCTTTCTGTAAATCAAATTCTGATTCACAGACATAATTTCAAACTATTTTTCTTCAAGTCTATGTACACACATGTATTTATCATTCATTTATTAATTAATAAGCAATCAATGCCTGTATCAGCTATAGCAGTGTCAGAGCTTAATGGATTAGAATAATTTTGTAAAGGTTAGAGAGAAAAAAATATAGTTTGGGAAAAAATAATTTGAACTCATACAAAGAAAGAGGAGGTGGCAAAAATGGAGAAGCTTAAGTAGTTTTCATATTAAGGAAGGATATTCTAAAGTATATCTTGAGAGGTACTGAAGATGTCAATGATAAAGGTTATAAAGTTCTTTAGCAGTATATAGTTACACTATAGCAGTGTCTGAATTCTGAAAGTTTTCATGCTTTTAAATTAATTGACTAACAAAGTGGTTGCATGGCAAGAATTGACTGGAACCAAAGGGTTTGACTAATGTGTGGTTTGGAGACATACATTACTAACTACTAGCACACATCTGGATCATCTATCTTGGCTTCATTTTGTAGATGAGACTAAAATCCTCATATAGGAGGATCAAAAGGGAGATAACTGAAATAAGCAAGGTGGAAAGAACTAAAATGAGCATGAGGGGAAACTCTGAGATGGCATAATAAATTTCTAAACACAGAACCTCCAGAATCAAATAGTTACGGTTTCAGTTTTGATTATCATTTTATATCATGTGACTTTGGGCTGTTTTCTAATTTATCTTAGTATTCATGTTTATAAAATGGGTTTAATAATAGTACATATTTTGAAGTATTGTTGCCATAATTAAGATTATATTATTTAAATCTCTTGGCTATTAGTATATGTTGAAGGTGTTTATCATTATCTTTCTGTCTATCAGGAAAATTGACACAGGCAATATGGCTCCAGGAGGTGGCTAAAGGAGTATATAGCTTGGTTTAGATCTTTAATTCATACTTTTTTTGTTTGGTTTCAGCACTGTTACAAACTCTAGCCATGCTTTATTTCACTTTTGCTGTGATGTGCTTTGCAAATTCTATTCATACTGGGAATTTACCATTGTGTACAGTGGTGTTTTTCTACATTAAAACAAAATTCTTCTTCCCATCACTCTACATTAATGATTCTAAGACCTTAAAGCATCCAATGAAGAGCAAAATGATTGCTACACACTTGGAATCTGCCAGGACCAGGAGTACATATGTGTGCAGGATGTTATTAGTAACTTCTAGTTGTCAGTTGAAAAGTATGTAGCCAGGAACTATGTAAGTAATATGCTCTAATTTCAACACACTGTTGGTTTTGGAACTGAGGCCAAGCTTTCATGACATCTCCAGCTGGCATCCCAGTAGCGCTAATTTTCTGAATGGCAAAACATCCTGTCCAGGATCCCTTATGATCAAAAGAACTCCGTAAAGGGATTATCTTATCAAAGGGATAATGCACTGAATCTTACAGAGAGTAGGGTGGTGACAGGACCATTGTATGACCCTGAGACAGGTTCAATATTGTGTACTGAATTCACTAATTCCACTTAGTACCTTTCATTATGGTGAATAAAGGAGATTATATCTATGAAGTACTTTGTATATTAATTTTCTATATATTGGCCAAGACTATTTTTCAATGTACATTTTCATGATGATTTCTAGATAT